TAAGTGTTCAACAACCATGACTTGTCCAGATACTGCTATTTCACATATTAGGGCAAAAGACCATATGAAGATAACTTTTATCTCTATTCTAAAAATAATTCACCACCACCAATAATAATAATTGCTACACTATGTTGAACACACTTTAACTGCAAACCACGTCATTATGTTTCCCTATAGGTCATTTGAACATGGGTTAAATAAGTGCAAAGTTCATGAACAGTGTGCCTGGCACTAGAATCTTGACAGGCATTGTGGTAGGTAATTTCCACACCATCTACTTGCTTATTATATTCCCCTAAAATTATTGTGAAACTGTGAAACTGCTCTGTGATTATAAATTTCCACCCTATTAATAAGAAATGTATATATATATACTGGAAAAGGTGTTTTTCCAAAGCCTCCTTTTAGAGGGGCCACACAAAAATCAATCAAGTATTATTCATTGGTTGATTGAACCATAAATCTCAAGGCTTGTATTGTAATTGCTTTATTATTTAGTGTAAACCACAATGCTTCAATGTTTCACGTCAAATGTTAAAATGACAGTTTGAAGAAAAGCTTGAGTTGTTTGAACTTAAGGGGTAATGTCTCTGTTTTCATTCCTCACCTTGTCTAATAGAGAAGCCAGGCACTTTAAGATGCTAAGAAGACTGAAGATTCTCATGCAAGAACCAAAAACAGCAATGCAGATTTTAGTACAGAATAGTGAATCTCAAACTACTATACAAATACAGAAGGGATGGCCATCAGTAAAGTCAGGCACAGTACTTCCCTAATCCTATCATCACCATTTCTTACCAAAGGTCAACACTAGAATTGGTCAAGATTACTTCCAACATCAATGAAGCACTCTGTTCTCATTACATCTGTAAGGAAAGAATGCTTTTTCTACATGGTCATTTCTGGCAGCCATGCTATGATCTCAGGGAAGCTTGCTGTTTTGATGAAGCTAGTGAAGGAGCTAGGAAGATATTAGTGCTCAATGGTGTGCTTGGGCAGATCAACCCTGGACACAGCACCAACTTTCAGCTTTCAAGCTAAATTTCCTTTCATATTAAAGCCAGTTTTCTTTTGCAACAACAAAATGCTATGCACTGATAACACAACAAACACATTCTTTATGTTTCTTATCCTTTACTGTATTAAAAACAAATCTTCAAAGTAATTGTCCTTAAAAATATTTTATTATGTTCACTACAGTTATATAATATATGATTAGAAAGGACAGATCAGCTACCAGCTATATACAGAACACAATCTTATATTTGGGGGACAAATTATAAGTGGTTTCTCATGCACAGAAGGGAAATGAGAAATAAATTGCTCAGTGGGGAAACATCCTGGTACCGCTGTGCAAGCTGACACCCTGGCACCCCTGCAGTAAGCTGACAATTCCAGCCCCCACTCCTTCAGAAACACGTAACCGCCACCGTATAAGCAAATTCCCTCAGCAAATGATGCAGATAAAGCAGCAGTATGAATTGGAGCATGTTGAATAAACAAGGATGCCCTGTGACTTGCTCATTTTCAAGTCATAGCACTTTGTGAAGCCTGGAATTCTGTTGGGAATAAAATACACAAACACACAATTCACGCAAGAGGAATGGCCAGCTCCAAGCTACTCAGCCAAGTCTTTATTCTTCCATCCTTTTTTTAGCTCTGTTCTGTCCTCACCCACAGTATAATTTGAAGTCTTGCTAAGAGTGCCAAGTCTTCCTTAATGTTTCCATTAATGTTTAAAATTTGCTGAAGGATTCTTAGAAATTGCATGGAAACATTGCGCTCTCTGTAATTTGTATCTGTAACCTCTGTAATGCATATGTTCTCCTTGGGGACCAAGTGTTGAGATCATTCATAAACTCTTGGATCACATGTGGCACTGCAAACTGGTGACATCTGACCACGGCAGACTCCAGGCCTGTCTCTGGCAATCATTTCCTTTGCTTTGCTGTGAAGGAGCCAGCACTTGGCACACCTTCAACACTTGGAAGCCCTATTTTTGGAAAGCCTTGCATCTGATATTTGAAAAGGATCTTCATAGCCTACCCATTAGCTTATGAGGAAGTCGTGGCTTGATGCTAATTAATGTTTAATCAGTTGTTCTTTTCTCCCTTAAAGATCTCAAGTCCACAAAATTGTTCATGGGGTATTGAGGTCCCCAGATTCACTGAGAATTCTTTAAAGAAATAATGACAAGTTGGAGGTTATGCAACCTACATTGTGTCAGGAAGAGGATAGCATTTAAAAGCATCTGTATTAAGGAAAATGTGTTTGGGATGATATGTTACTTCAGAACAAGATTTACATCCAATTAATATATCTGTTCTGCTCCCTAAGTGACTGTGTCTGAGTACTTTTCGACAGAGGACTGAGGCCGACAACGATACCCATTGCTCTTAGCATTAGAAGATAAGAGTGCATTTAATTAAAAATCTATCGAATAAAACTGCTCAATATGGTCCCCAGTGGATGGTCCAATTTTTTTGGCACTTCTGATGGGGCCTATTACTTTTCTACGATGTGGGTTTGGGAATAAATAAATAAACAGGGAAATAAACACACTAGTTTTTTTTAATGGAATTTACATTGATGGGGTAATTACAAGTGGCCATCTGTCTGATATGAGTTTTCAGCCTAGTTTCTATTCCATGAGTTTCAACTCTTCTGCCAAACTAGAGAACAGGTAGATGCCAGAAAGGCTGCTTGCAAGTGGTTGTTGGCTATATTCTGTACCCATCACTTTTACATTTTTCTCTACCATTCTGCACTTACCTTTCATTTACCCTGTGACCACAAACAAAAATTTTCAGAGAACAAATTACCATTTATGCATACTTATATATGTATATTAAAGGCCAGTTTATTGGGAAGTTGCTCTCTAGCAAGTTCACAGTTCCCAAGGAGTTAGGGTAAGGGAATCACCATGGGGAGAAGGGGAGAAAAAAAAGAAAAGAAGAAGAGAGAGCTATCTAAATATGACTTCAATTTTCAGATGTACATAACTAACATGTTTAAATTCAAAGTTCAGGATTCTTTTCTCCCCTTTTGTTGTATCTGTCTATTTGAATAAAGTGAACACCAGAGTCCTGTCAGGTAAATATTATTGCACTGTTTTATTCATGATCCAAATAGGTCATATCTCTCCTCCTACCTTGTTACTCAGAACTGAAGGCATTAGCATTTACAGCATTCCAACACAGCCCAGTTCGCGGAGGTTCATGGTCTCAGGTGTGTCTTCCTGTCATTCTACACTGTCACCAGCATGGAAGCATTGTTGCTCTGATATTTTTCTCCCATAGTGCATTCTGATGTGCATGATCTCCATGAATTACAATGCCAACTAACTGCCAAATGCCAGGAGTTATAAACGCAATAGTCTAAGCATTATTACACATTAGTGCACCCTACGGTGCAAAGGTGTCCTGGAATTTATGTGTTATTTATTACCTATTGGCAGGGTCTCAAAGTAATTTCACCCCTGCTGATGAAGTGAGGGTTGAAGAGAGGAGGTCAAGGTTAACTGTCCTTGTCAAGAAACCTAGTTCCTCTAAACTGCTGTTACTTAGCTTTTCACCTGGACCTGTGACGTAACAGATATTGAATGAGAGACATGTACTCTAATGCCTCTCTAGACATTCAGGTTGATGCTTCCTGATTGATAATATCTATTGTTTCAGGAGTTTTAACAATACTTTATCATCATTGTCTCAAAGTCTGAAGATGTGAGGAACACAATTATTTTTAAATGTGTAAAATTTAGGAGGAGACTGGTGACTTTTGTCTTTTATAGAAAACAACAACAAAATAAACAACAACAACAAAAACTAAGGATTATATCAACCTGCATTGGATTAGGTTTGAATTTGCGATATTTAAATAATCAAGTGCCACATGTCAGCAGAGTCTTGAATGGGAGCATTTCAAGACTGGGATTTGCATATGTCCACATTACAAAATAGCATGACCCTCTGCTCTCATGTATGTTGCTGAAACAGATGCAATTTGACTTCTCAGATTCTTCAGGAAATGTACCATTTGATGGCTACATGACAAGGAGCTGGATGTGTTTCCTAATTCAGAATGTACCACGTTTACTTTCAAATCAGCAGATGAGCAAAAAGCTCAAGCACCGATCAACTCTATACCAAGGACTTACGGACACTTTTTTTTTCCACAACCAAATGATTTCTGAATGCCACTGCTAACATGCAGCAGTCTTGTTCCTCATCTCCAGGAAATCCCCCAAACATCACCATGTTTTGACAGCTAACCAGAAGAGAAAGCAGGGAGCATAGCTCAGCACTTTTTATGAATGCTGATGTCTACAAGACCATGCTTTAATTATTCCAGAAAACTGGTATTACGTCGCCGGAGTGACTGAAACACAATGTGCTTGACAACTTTTGTTTCCCTAGGAAAAGCAGAATTTCTTGCTTATTGATGATAAGTCCACCCTCCCAAAAGTCTCCCCCTTTATTCTGTGAAAAGCAAGCTGATACTAGACACAAATATTGTCTTCTAAAAGCATAAGGCATGCTCAGTGCCCCAAAGAAAGTGCCATGTGTTTTTACAGAAGTAATTAAGTATTTAAAAATAAATAAATAAATAAATGATGTTTAATTAAAAAGCTGTTCCTGTTTTTTTTTTCTGAATGTAAGATTAATTACTGAACATAATTTGGTGAAGTATAGTACAGCACAGGGATAGCCCTCAAGAGTTTAGGCCCAACTTGGTCAGGGGACCACAAATGGGTATCTACTTGCCTCCCCAACCATCACATGCGTTCAAAGTGGTGTAGGCCCACTTCTTTAAAATGTGGATTATCTGGCATCTCTAAGCAGTGCTCAGTCACATGTTCCTTATTTTCCAGCTTGGTGCAGCTAGACAAGATGCCCTGGGCCACTTTGCCCTTGGGCTTTCCAAAAGTACCATGTATGACTGTCTGGAGCCTAGAGTGAAGACAGCATTGAGATAACAGATGTGAATAACTTCCAGAAAATTGTTTATAAGTTATCTTAGGCTACCTGCCTAGGCAACAGGCTGAATGTACTCCCAAGGAGGCCACTATTTGCGGCCTTTGCTCACTCAGCCTCTATCTATGTGGAAAGGAGCTTGGTAAGCTTGATTGGCTGCAAAACACCCCATCCATGTGTATTGGAAATCTGAAAAGGGGGCCCTCTGCAAGGCAGAGAATGAGAAAAGTTACTTAACTTCTCCAAAGGTGGAAGAAAAGAACCAACTCCACAAATTTGCCCTCTGACCTGCATGTGCACGTGCTTGCATATGTGCCTTTGTATAGACCATATGCACACCAGAACAAGGGTGGTAATAATAATAATAATAATAATAATAATAATAATAATGCATAAATAAATACTCTTTAAAAAGCCCCCTCTCCTTTGGATATGCATGAGAGAACGGATAACCATTTAATCACAGAGTATGACCTCAGTAATAAGGAAGTAAACACCTTTGCCTACTTTGCTTACTTGTCATATCTTATCCTTAACTCCCCTGGTACATGCATCTTAGGACTTACTACATATCCACTAACAAAAATGAGACAGAAAAGAAACAGAGCTGCTTACTTCTTCCTTAGGAGTAACTAACTTTCTATGAGGGATATCTACCTTGACTTACAAAGTACTTATAGTTCGTTCATCTAGAACATTGGTTCTCAACCTGTGGGACTCTTTTGGGGGTCCAATGACTATTTCTTAGGGGTTGACTAAGATTGTGGGAAAACACTAATGTTTACATTACAATTCATAACCATAGCAGAAATACAGTCATGAAGTGGCAAATGGAAATAATTTTATAGCTGAGGGTCACTACAAATTGAGGAAGAATTTTAAAGGGTCACAGCATTAGGAGGGTTGAGAAGCAGTGATCTAGACCATGACCAAACCTGATAAAGATTTACTGAGACTCCTACTAAACATCTATTATTTTCATTTAAGGTAAGTTATAATACCATGTGCATTATCACAATTGACCAGTGAGCATAATTTGCAATGTTGAACATTTTCCTGTACCAAACGTTAACCTTTCTCCTGTGTTCCCTTTAATAGCTCTCTAAAAATGCTAATATCTCATTTGCTTTCTAATCTCAAGTAGCTGAAAGGAAAAGTATTCATTTCTTCTGAAATAAAACATCTTCATTATGACCTATGAGTTGAATGATATCATTTTCCTTTGAAAGTAGATAATTTCTAAAGGCAAAAGCAGATACATAGTTATTATACGTTGAGTTTTAGGACTGAGAGATCAAAGATGAAGTGGTAGACATGTCTAAAGAACAGAGTTGCTGAGGTTCATTAGTGAATACTCTTCTGGTTTGATTTTTTTCCAAATACCATGCAATTACTAATAGAAGATGATAATTACTACAAATCACTATTATGAGAACTTGCATTCATGCATATAACATAATTTTAAGTCAAGGACATTCAGATGACTATTTACATTATAAGGCACTAAAGGAACAGAATTTCAGTAGTTTCTTTTACCAAAAGTATAACTTTTCCCTATGAAGTTACAAGAAGGGTATTTAATATGACAAGCAGTATTTAAGTTAACCTTGGTTAATTGAGACCTGATAGATTTTATATTTATTATTTTACTTTCAAACAGTTCTGGTTGTATCTCTTAATATTAAGTAAAAGAAATTCTTTATTATTTAAATATTCACTTTTGTTTTTTGATAACTATTAACTGTACACTAAATTGATTGAGAGAAAATTTTAGAACATTTTGTGGGTTTGAAATATTTAAAGAGAAATTGTCTTTTTATCATATTTAAGATGTTTAGAAAATTTTTCACGTATAAATCACAAACCACCAGGAAAAGTTTGGATTATCTGAGAAAAAATAGAAAGAAGAGATGTGTTGTCTGACATGACTCTTTAGGAGGGCGAGTCTCAATATGGGAGGTGAATCTTTGTTAATAATGGGCAAGAAGAAAATAAACAAGAAGGAATGTGCTTGCATGTACATAAAACAAGAACAAACTGAAGAAACTAGCAATAACACATTCCATTGGAGAAATAAAAATATTGGAAACAAAGAATGAGAGAAAATGATGAAGCACATCTGTTTTGCCTTCTTTTTTGACTGCTAAATCTTGTAAATGCATTTATTAATTATAAATATATACATTTGAAGTTGCAGAAATATAACACTTAAATGGAAAAATGTATTGACTAAGAATGTTTTAAAATCATTTCTCCCAGCTGGCTTTAAGCCACAGAGCTGTGACAAACTTCTTCCAAATGTCAATTGGTGGAACAAAATGTAACTTTAGAGAATAGTTGGTCCATTCATTATAGAAGTCAATAAAACAGCTTTAAAGCAGTGGAAAACCTACCCAGAAGCCTGATCAGGATGCACTTTATTTATTATGATCATTTTAAAAGGCAAAATGTAAAATTATAAGAGTTCTTGTTAAGTTCATTTCATTTAACATCAGCAACAGGCTTCTACTAGTAGAAAAAGAGCAGTGTACTGAGATAGCAGGATCACATTGTAGAGACTTGTTTCCTAGTATTGCAAAGGAGGATCTAGTAAACAACCCACAGTAAAAGGGTTCAGCCTGGTAAACGTGAGAAAGGTTTGAAACATCACAGTTGTATACTATCAACAGACACTTTCTTTTTTTTATTTAGTTTTTTAAATCAAATCATAATTTTTACTTATTCACACAGGGGTTATAAACACAAAAAGGCAGGACATGGGGAAGGGGGTGACACTGGAGCGTGGGTGTTCACGGGGAGTACAGATATCTTTCAGAACATGGTATCGGCTGGGTAAAGGTTCAGGGGACAGGTCACTATGACTCTGTCTATGATTCACTTGTCCTTGTCTAAGTTGGTATTATCTGCCAAGGCTACCTAGTTACAAGGTCCATGACTACTCAGCCTGGTAAATTTCCACAAAAAATTTATAATAACCTGTTTATAATAGCTTATAGCCCTCAACAGACACTTTCTTAAATAGGATATTTATATATAAAAATGTTTTTCTTCTCCCCTATTTATATACTGGGATCTGTATATGGGAGTGCACTTAAAGTATGCAAATGAGAATATAAGTGACCTCTTTCAAATATAAAAGCTTATTGCCATTGGAAAGTTTATTAAAGGAGTTTTTTTTTCTAGAATACATGTAACAGTCCTTGCAAAAGATTATGGAAAACTTACTGTCTCCCTTTGACATTCCTATATTTTTATTTATATAGTTTCAAATAGAAAGCAAATGTTTGCTTCTTTTATTTTTTTACTTAAAGTGAGTTTTTAAAGTACTAGATTTTTTGCTACATTCCTGTCATCCCAGCACACTGGAAGGGGAGCCAGGATGATAAGGAATGCAAGACCAGTCTTGGTTATCTGGGATGTTCTAGGCAACCTAGCATACAGGAGATAATATCTCAAAACCAAACATACATAAAAAGAAGCAAAATGCTGCATACATATGTAGCTTAAGTTTGATATCATTACGTGTCTTAATATAGTTATTTTATAGGATAAGGATAGTTGATGTCAGATCCATAAAATGCCTTATAGTTTATCTTAAACAGCAAAATGAATGCTGGATATTCTTCCTCTTGATCAATATATTGAATTCTGACTTCTAGTCTTTGAGTTTGTGGTAAAGTCATCTCATGAAAGTGTTTGTTAAAATTCATTTAAACATATAAAAAGAGACAGCTTCATTACCATAGTATTATGTAAGGAATATACAGTGACCTATGCATTTGCACAATGCAAAGTTCCACTGTGTATTTTCAATAGTTCTCAATATTAAGCAGCTTTACTTCATTTCAATTTTATAACAATCTATTATTTTTCACTGCAGGGTTTCATGTTTTACTTTTCAATTAATAAAAGTGATTAATACAAAATATTTTTCTTACACATTGATATACACACCTATATCACATGGTACATTAACAAGAACCACTCTCTGATTGTGTCATGCATTCAGATTCCTCTCTTTGCCTCTGTTCTTTTTATTTTCTTTGAGATACCACTGTATCATCTGTACAGCAGTTGACTTAAAACTCTTATTTTGAGTTTGGATATTCCTATATTCTTTTCTTCGAACAGTGGACATTATTGAACGTGTCTAGTTAACTTTCTTCGTAAAAATTTGCACAGCATTCCTCAGAACATTGGAATAAAAATTAGAGTATCTGCTACCCTAGAATTCATTTTGAGATGTGTCCTCACACTATATAGTAACTATCCCTCCTGCTTCTTTCTCCCTCCATTCTCCCTCCTGTATATGAAGCTTTCTTTTCCAGCAAGACAAGAGACATTTGGATCCTCTTCCTATCCTTTTCAGTCAGCCTACAACATATTTTTTGTCCAATCAATCTTTCCTTTCCATTTCCTGTCAGTAAAATCTCAGTTCCCAAATTTCTTTTGCCTCTGATTATGTTTTCAAAGCTCCAGAATCTAAAGAAGAAGCAAGAACAATGTATCACACCCTGTGTTATTTTCCCCCTCTGCTGCATATAACTTGTTGTTCTGTACAATAATTTTTGTTTGGTATTTTGGCTTACTACTTAGCTTCCTTAAGTAAAATAGAAGTTAATTCCAGATATGAAGAAAGAAATTTCAATTTTTTAACTGTTAAGTTCCCAAACTTGAGATAGCCATTCTTAACATGTAGCAGACACTAAAAATGTATTTACTGAAATAAGATGAATAACAAATTTCAGTTTGTGTTATTAAAAGTGATAGAGTTACTTATTATACATCCATAAAAGAAATTTGCCCTGTAGTTACAAGTTTTCCTCACATGACATGAGGACACATGAAAAACGTCTTTGATTAACTTATTGTTCATATAGTTCTGGAAATTTCTCTCCTTATCACTTAAAAAATAAACATCTAAGACCATGTACTGAATGAACCTGCATTTTAAATACTTCAACTTCCCAGTGGATGAAATAGACATATGTCTATTATATGTCCACATTTTCCCACCTAAAATGTTAAGGAAATACAATAATAATTTTGTAAGACAGAATATCTTATGAAAGAAAAGATATACATTTCAAGAGTCCTAATATTATTTTGTTAATATGAATGACTAGGAGTCAAGGCTTAAAATAGATAATTTTTTTTATTCT